GACAGCGCATTTAAAACGCAGAAAATTAAGGGGCTTCAAAAAGATCTTTAATTATCGTTCATCCTTTCTTTTTCCTTAAATACTTTAATTAAGGTGACAAAACAAAATTCATTGGATTACTTTCGTTCATTGAATTAGAAGTTTTCAAACAAAAAAAAAATTGTACATGTCCTTAGAGAAGATTTCTTTAAGGTAAATCATTAAGGCTCTGATCATTTTTCAATTTAATTATCATAAGAAATGTATATTTTAGTTGATTAGTCAGAACACAAATATAAACAAATTTCAAAATACAATTATACACAAAATGAAACTCATACTAATCAAATCTTCTTAACTTTTCAACGGTCAACAATTACCCACTTAGGAGATGGGCCTGATTTGTTAAATATATAGCCCAAAGCCCATATTTGACACGTGTTGAGTTTCTATTGGATGCTATTAAAAATTTCCTTGAGCTTCAATCCTCTGTGGTCATCTATCTTTCGTGCTTTTCTCCCAATTTTATTACGCGAACAAGAACAGAAGAACACAGAACCCTAGATTCTTCTATTGCCTTCTTCTAGGTTTATTTCTCTCTACCTCCACGAAAACGCATCCAAATCTAGTCGACGAAAAGAAACATCTTATTCAGTATTATTCGATCATTTAATCGGCTTCCATGGTGGGTTTTTTCTTCTCTCTTCTTCTGTTTCCAGTTTTTGATTTCTCTTGCCTCTTTAATCTCTTGATAAAATCGATTTGAGCTGTGTAAATCTGAGAGATTGATGTGTTCTATGAAGAAATTGATGTGGTGTATGAATTGGGTTTCGGATTATTCAGCTTGTTGCTTCATTTCGAGATCCTTTTTTAATCCTCTTTGGCAGAATTGGGTTAAATTTTGGATTTTTATTGCTTGACGGCTTTGGCCCTCCGTTGTATTAGGTTGTAATTGCAGTGATTAGAACATTTTTAAATGATTGAAAGAAACTTTATGGATAGACAACTCCTCGTTTACAATTTGCGGTTATCTTTTTGTTAATTCCAGATTTGATCATTTGTGAAATGTTTGCAATCAATCGAATTCATTCGTGTATATAGTAGTGGCTAAAGGCATGTGCTTGAACCAACTTTGTGCAGCCTTTACTTTGGACATGTGTC